AGAGAGAGAGAGTGTGTGTGTTGGATTCGGGGAGAATTTCCCTGAGACGCAGAGCGATCCGACTCTGGAGCATCCTGGTCTCGCTCGGGGTACTCTTGTGTTCTTGGCGCAAATAGATTGGCTTGCCAAGTTTGTCCCGAGTCTGCACATAACACACAGTCACATCCAGCAGTCAACCTGCACTGCCAGACCAGTCTGTGCCGTGCCGGAGCACAAGTTTATCCCCGTTCAGTCAGCCCCTCTGTGCGCATGGCTGGCATTCGTGGCACCGAGTTTGGGGGGCAGAGGGGTGTCGGGTCTGGCGATCTGCAGTGCTCCGCTCACTTTAGAAATAGCCTTTCACATTTTCCAATGAAGAGAATGACAACACAGACGAGGAAGGGAAGAGAGGAACAGAAGGAGGGGGGGGGAGGGGAGTGAGAAAGAGAGCGGGCAGGGTGGTAGGCTATCTTATGCTATAGTGCAATCACGGCTCCGGCTCTTGTCCTCCAGATCGCATCTAATTCCGCCTCAGTACCAACTTGAGCGTTTCTTTGGCTGTGAGTGTGTGTGTTGGGTGGGAAGCACACCCCAGCGGATGGAGGAGAGGAGTGGAGGAGAGAGGCAGAGAGAGAGAAGAGCGGCGCGGAGGGCGGAGAGAGACAGAAAAGAGAAGGCATAGAGAGACTAACTTGCCCCTCTTCGTGTTATTTGTGGCGTCCTCTCAGGGTATTATTACTCAGTCTATGCTAATCCTCCATAACGTGGATTCCCCGGATATTAATAAAGCCTTATCCCACTGGAATAGAGCCACTCGCCCGGTTTATCCGACTTTAATATGGGGAGAAGAGAGAGTACAAAATCGAAACACGGTGCTGCTGCCAGTCAAGTCTTCAGACTGAGTATGAAATGACGAAGGGGCAGCACACTCTAAATTGATGCCAAACTGTGACATCTCTTTAAACACTTGGTCCATCCTTTTGGTGTGTGTTGGTTGGGGGGGGGGTCTGCCCTGCTGAAGTTCCCTTGAGCAATCCAAGTGCCGGGATGCTGTTCTCCTCTGACCTTTGACCTCCTCATGCAGACAGAAAAAAGCACACATTCCCTCACTTGAAGATTAGCAGGAATCACCATTAAAGTCACCACTGTGTGCTCGCTCTAATGGCAGCGGCTCTTCTCGTGGCGTGCTGCAAAGGTTTAAGCGGCAGCTAATTTTAAAATAACCTAGCAGAGACTATTTCTAAACACAGCAACAATGGGAGAGCCCCGAAGCGTGGCAGGCAAACAGCTCATTTGGGAAACTCTGTGTTGTTGTGCTACCTCTCTCTCTCCTCATTTCCTCTCTCTATCTCTGCTCTTTCTCCTCCTGGATGGATTGAGAGGCCAAAGACAACACAGCTCATTTGGTTTTTCTTGTTTGACCTGTGTAGGCTTAGTGCACACTTTCCGCTGTGTATTATTCATTTTTAATTGGATAAGCCATCGGTTCATTTCCACATTGTAGTTCGATCTTCTGATGCGAGGCGATCATGATTCAGGCTAATAGTTCCTACAGAGAAATTATTTAACTCTCTGTTTTATTGATAAGCCCCTGCTACCTCTTGCACTAACCCCCCCCCCCCACACACACACACACACACACAAAGGTGTATTAGGAAGAAACTGATAAAATACCCTCTGAACCTAGAGATTGTTTTTGTAATATGTTTCCATGCAAGTACTCACTGCTGTGGAAGTTCACTCAAAGGCACACACTCACTCATGCAAAGTGCCACATCTCCAGGAGGTTAGATGTATGGAGCTGATTTACATGCTGACCCAGCCCCATGAGGGCATCTCTATCCTCTGGCTGTGCCCACCAGAAGCGGTAGCTGTAAATGTTTTGAATGCCCCAAATGTAAATGAGTACACAAAGCCAATAAAACAGAGATTCATGCAAACCGCTGATAAACATATACCAGTTTCCCCAGCGAGAGACACACACAACATACATACTCATTTGTATTCAACACATACTTAATCCACCTGACTCATCACCCACAAGAAAGCGGTATAAACTGTCATCTCCCCTCTCAGAATGACAGTAACGTGCAAACTTCACCATGTTAAAGAGTGTGGGATTGAACGAAGCACTCATATTTATAGATGCGCAGGTAGGGAGCCAAGTTCCTCTTCACAATGAGCTGCCATACACTCCTACCTTCCTCCTACCACACACACACACCCACATATGGGCACACACACACCAGCAGCCCCCTCCTTGGCAATAAATCCCTGTTTTCCAAATGAAACGCTAAGCAGTCTCTCCGGGTGGAGGAATGATTCAGAATAAGCACAGCACAGCTGGGAGCTGCAGGTGCAAGGATTTTCATCCCCTTCTTTTTTCTCCTTTTCCCACTTTGATTCCTCCTCTTTGTCTGTCTGGTATAGGTTGTTCCCCCCCTCAGCTTTTCCTTCCTCCCATCCTGTGAAACTAGTCTTTTACTTTAATTAATGTGATTTACCAACCTTAATCCTCCTTTTATTTCCTCAAAATGCTCAGCGCCATTTTCTCCCTTCACTCTCTCTCTTGATGTTTCCTCTTCTCCATATCTCTTTCTCTTCCACCAGTAGACGGCGGATGACAGTTATACTCACAGTTTAAATTCTGGGCTGGCACCTGGGCGTGTCTGCGATGAAGATTTGCTATCATGGACGTTTATGGGCGTGGTGGCCAACAGACTGTTAAAGTTCCCGCTTAAGCCGCTGCAGGCTCGGAGATAGACACAGATAGAGGAGGGAGGTCATGGTCTCCAGGAAAGAAAGCGTTTAAAGTGTGGAGCTGAAGACAGACAGTTGCCATGGTGTCCTGTTACTCATAGACACAGCTGACCTTCATGTTTCCACACACATATAAGCCCAGAGATGCCTGACACAAACATCCACACTTTTATCCATCTTTCTGACCCCCTCCACCCCTCCGTTTGGTCTCACCCTCCCTCGGCCCTAGAGGCAGTTCATTGACCATTCCTGGTATGTCAGCGCCATTTATTATTGAGTGCAGCAACAGGTTTGAGATATGAAAGCACATATTCAATAGAGGTCCATGCTGTGTTCAGCAACATACTCTAGGTTGAGTGGTTTCTTATCATACATACCAACAGGTTTTTTGTTCAGTCATATCAACCTCAACAGAGGATAATGAAGGATCCTCTGTGCATACATACCCCCTGCACTTCCCTGTGGTTTCTTCATGCACTGTACAGATGGACCCATGTTATGTCCATCACTGGTAACAATGAATCATCCTTTCAGAGCAGACCCCCAGCTAACCTCTTGTTTCTTCCCAGAAGGCTTCTGTGTGAAGTGTCCTTTTCAGACCCGCCACCCCTCCGTTAGTGTGTGCTGTTCCGGCAATAGGCTTTTTATAATGGAGTCTGTTTAAGGAGCAACAGTATGACACGCTACAAAGGCTAATGGTGACACTAATGAGGAATGCCAGTCATTAAGACAGGATGATTTCTTTCTTTCTGTCTCCTGTTCCCCTCAGATGTTATTGCTCTCTTCTCATTCTCCCCTCGCCATGCCGCTGCCTGGTCTTTCAGCTCCCATAGTCAAGCAGCTGGAATAAAGGGTTAGAGTTTCAAAAAACTGCAGAGAAGTTTGCAATTTGACAGCCTACAGAGACACGCAAACACTCAGGAGTAAAAAGAGCATGAAATGGCTCAAGTGAAAGCAGCCCAATACCAATCTAGATTTTGCTGTCTAAATGTACCCTGGTGTTACTGTGGGTCTAACAATCGGCCAGCAAATAGGCTTTCTAGTGTGGGGCTTTGAGGTTTCAGTCTCCTTCCCATTCCACTTATCTGTGCTCTTTCCTGTATGAATGCTCAAAGCTAACTGCAGCCTATGGTACTACAGGGCTTTTTGGAGGTTTTTTTGAATCAGCTGTTGTTGACAGAAAACATCTAACTCTAAAAGCTTCCTGTAAATGAACACAACCAGACATGCAAGCATGCACACTGACCGACACACAAGTTTGAACCCAAATGGACTCTAAGGGACATACATGCACAAACACACTCACACGTGTACATGTTGACACCTGTGCACTCGCACTGATTTTTCTCTTTAAAGGGGAGAGTCTGAAACACTGAGACTTTCTTATTTATCTGTGTGTTCCCCTGTGACTGTGGTTGAGCAGTACTGCACTGTAATGGGCTATAAGGTCAAATGCTGTCTTAACTCCGCTGTGGGAGGGTGTGACCTTTGAAGGAAACACAGTCTTCTTCAATCTTCTTTCCCTCGACGTCGCCACCACGCTCCCCTGAGGAAGGGAGTGGATAAGAGGAGGACGTAGCGAGGGAGGATGACAGAGAGAGAGAGTGAGAGTAACAATTAAAGTAAATATGTACCCTTAGTGCTCCATTAGAATCTGCCTGTATTTGATATAAGTGGCCTAATTATGCAAAACGGCAATGGACATTGCGTGGTGTAATCGTGAAATGCGCCAAGTGAATAAAAAAAGTGATAGAAAACCCTATGTCCTAGGAGAGTGGATTAATGGCTTATTTGTGAGTGTGGATGACTTTTAGTGGTCAGAGAAAGCGGAGAAGAGACAGACAGACACACACGCACGCACACACACAAAAGGCCTCAGTAACCATGTGTGAAGGACACAGCAGTACAATGCGATGCTGTCCCTCCAGTTGATCACGCTTTCATCTCAGTTTGTTCTCCTCTTGTCAATTTTGTGGTCAGACAAGCAGATGAACAAGTACACAGATAAAACGGGCGTCACACAGACAAAGAGCCATATAGATACCCAAGCAGAGATAACGCCCCCCCTAAAAAAGCAATCCCCTGATGACCTAAACTAAAGTGTGTGTGTGAGGCAGAGAGACATGGTTCACAACCCTTGTATCTCACTTTCTCCGTCTCCCTGCCTCCTCCTCCTCCTCCTCTTCCTCCTCCTCCACCATCCGCTCTGACAAACACTCT